ACACACACACACACACACACACACACACACACACACACACACATACACACAGACACACACAGCGCGCGGGCGCAAACACACACATGTGCTCAAAGCACATTATATGCAAAGAGACCTATAAAAAGCAAGATTGCATGCCTTTGCTGCTTTTGTATGAGCGCAAAGTAAGCTGATAACAATGTCTTAATTAAACATGTCAGCCTGAAGAATCAGATACTACGAGGAAATGGCGAAGACAAAGAAGCAAATCCCGCCTGCCGTCCACTCAGATTGTTTCGATACTTGCTTATAACACTTACAATCAATCAAGAAAGATAACTTTCGTTCTTACAAAAATGAAACTTTTCAAGATAATCGTAGCAACAACGTGTTGTCTGTCTAGATAGCAGTTCAGCAAAACGACTCCTGTTAGTTATTGTTCCCTGCCTCTAATGCTAATGAAGGTTTCCACTATCCGCTAGTAGAAAGTACACAATGTACTTTCGTTCCCACTCACACAATTATGTGGCTATGACACACGTTTCCTCGAAAGGACGAGATTCTTCTCGAGGGCCTACTGTTTCAGCTTGTGTTACTCTTTACACCGTTCTATCAGAGTCCCCAATATTCCGTGACAACAACAGAAGTGAAAGATGTGGCTAACTATTTTTGAACCATCTTGCTCGCACTATGTGTTACAGTTCATCTGGCTGAGGAAGGAAGAGAATCATCATCATCCGGTGCCTTGCCGACTGGCGTGGGCGATCATGGACCTCCACTTCCATCTGTCTTTCGAAGCAGCAATGAGGAAGAGAATAAGGACACAATAGATTGGCTTTTCAAAATTTTAATTCAGGTGGTTTTACGCGCCTATCGACACACAATAGATCGTACTGCAGGCGGGCTTCTGGCCCTGTTTGTCACAGCCAATCCAGGTTGATAGGGATAATCCCAGCGAAAAGACCGAGATATTCAATAAAAATGTTCTCCTCACTCGAGGATTGAGCTGGGGTTTCCTGTATGCTACAGCTAAGCACCGAGCACTGCACCGCAGATCTGTCATTGTAAGAGAGAGAGAGAGAGAGAGAGAGAGAGAGAGAGAGAGAG